TAAGCAAATGTGTTCTCTTTGCTGGACAAAGTGCGGTTCAGAGGTCAGCCTGGTTGGCATCATCAAGGAACTTATGAGAAATACTGAATTTCAGGTGTTAACCAAGACCCGCTAAATCAGAATCTGCCTTTTAACCACATTCCCAGGTGGTTCATATGCATAGTAGAGTCTGAGAGATGCCTGAGCCATCATTATTATTTTTAGCTAGCTATAAAATCCATTGCCTCAGAGATTGCTGTTTTCCTAAATAAAATTATTCTGTGACCAGACTTTCCTATTTTCTGATTGAGTGTACACAAAATACGTTTTTCACAGCTTTGTTTCCTTTTTTCAATTCTAGGGTTGCTCAAGCTTAGAAAGTGTGTGAATTCCTACTCCCATACTGTGAATCAGGGGGCTTTTTATAAGGGAAACTCCCTTGTAGGGCCATCTGATTAAAACAATTTAAAAAACAATTGAACCAATGTTGGCTATTAAAACATTGGTACTTAGGTAGTTTTCTTGTTTAAAAGAATGCTTGTGAGGGTGCACAATCAGCACTACCCTTAAGGAAGATTTCCTGCCACAAAATGTTTAGAATGGCTCCTGAAAGAGAAAGTAATTATTTAACATCAGTTAGGTCTTTAAAAAAAAAAACAAAAAACCTTTTTCTGAGATGATGTAAATTTATGGAGGGGGTTGGATCACTTGCTTGCTAATTTTTAATTTGCTTTTCAACTAATTGTTATTAACTCACATGCCTACTTTTTAATAGAAAGAACATTTTTCTGTTTTAACTTGCCTAAAGTTAGGAAAGTACTTACAGTGGTTGTTAATAATGTACTCTTCAATGGAGTCAAATGATCTAAACTAGGTATCTTCCAAGTCATCTCCTGTATACAAAGCCTCCTGTGCCTTGCATCTTCCGAGGGAAGGCAGGCTCAAGTTATGCCTGAGACTGGGCTGACTTCTGTCTGAGGACATACCCTTGGGATGGTCATGGAGCTGGTGGCAAGAGAAAGAAAATGCACTGGGAAGAATGGCACTGCCCACGGGTGTGCATTGCCCACATGTGACAAAGGCTTACCTTGAAGTTGTGCATCTGCCTGGCCTAGAAAGGGGCCAGCACATAGGAGGGGTGCAAAAAATGCTTGTAATTATGTTGTGGTGCATTTATGTACTGGTTTATAGTTTCATTTTTTTTTCATGAGAATGTGATTAGTGAGTGGGACTTGATATTTTCACTCGCAATGTCCCTGTGCCTAGCATATGACTTTGCAGGTAGCAATTGCTCAGTGTTGGTGAATGTCTAGGTGCTTGGTAATAGCTCAGGCACTGAATATTCTGGTTTTCTCACTTAATTCTCACAGTGCCCTTATAATGTAACAGTAACTAATATTTACTCTGCCAGTGTCCTATGTTCTAAGTGCTTTTCGTTTATTCACTCACCTGATGTTTTTCACAACCATTTGATACTTAAAAATAGGAATTACTGTTATAATTTTCCTTTGCAGATGGGGAAACTGAGGCATAAAAGGGTAAAGTTGCTTAAGGTAACACCCATAGAGAATCAAGGTAGGCTTGAAACTCAGTGGTTTGCCTCCAATATCCATGCTCTTCACCACTCTAATAGAGTTGCTCATTGGTTTTCCCATTTTGTGGGTGAGGAACTTCAGTTTTCAATAGATTTCCCATAATTGTACTTTTGTGGCAAACTGGACCTGAGATACCCATCTCTATACTAAGGCTCTTCTCACTACACCACAGTTCTAGACATTTCATTATGACCCCAGAGACAGAAATTTCCAAGAAGAGTGTGTCTCCAATGCCAAAAAGGTCAAGGAGATTCATCATCAGAGACATAGTAAAAACTAAAACTCCCTGAAACTTCAACAAAGCCTTTTTAGGTATAATCCTGTAATATTCTTTGTGGCTCTGGTCAACACATTTTAAGAAAATTGTTGGGGAAAGCCCAACAATTACAAGGAAAAGGGATGTCAGGGCAGTTGTCTGTCTACTGGCATGGTAGCAAATGAGTGTGCTTCAGTCCAGGAAGACAAGAGCTGATGGTGAATGTGTTTTTACTTCACATCCAAGCATTACAAAGTATAGAATTGAGTTCTAAACAACCCCAAAGTATCACTGACGCTTGATCAGTTTGTTTCCAGAATTTATTGCAAATAAAGTTTTAGACATTGGGTTGTAAGCTAATAGACTTACTAGACCAACAGGGATGAATATATGAATGTGTCTTTAATGAATATGGATACATATCCCTAATGTGTCACTGGGGAAAGATTGGCTTTGTTACTCATTTTTGTCTTTGAGATAGATATGGAAGAGCTTGGTGTTTAGAATCAGAAGGACCTGAGTTTAAATCTTACCTCTGTCCCTTACTTGTTATGTGACCTTGGGCAAAATTCTTAATTTCTTACTTCCTCAATTTCTTTCTTTTTTTAATTTATTTTATTTTTTAGGTGTAGATGGACACAACACAATGCCTTTATTTTTATGTGGTGCTGAGGATTGAACCCAGGTCCCGCCTGTGTGAGGCGCGCGCTCCACCGCTGAGCCACAATACCAGCCCCCTCAATTTCTTGATTTGTGCAATGGGATACTAATGATCCTCAAATCACAAGTGTAGAGAGAACTGATCAGATTACTTTTGAATGAAATTAAATTATTGCATACAAGCACATGAAAAGTGCTTGGTCCAAGGCACAAGTTCTCCATTTTAGGAAGATAATGCAGATATATTTGAGTGGAAGAACAGGGATAAGTTTTTCTCCTGTGTTACAGGAACTTCACTGTGGAATGCTCTGGTGATGTGCTAGCTTTGTCTGTGTGGTATAAACTGCATCGTCATAACTGTTCCCAATGGTTAGCAAGAAGAAAATGGGAAAATGTTGCATCTAATAGAGACCAAGAGCTCTCTTATTAAGCCTGCATTCTCTGTGCTGTTTCAATGTGATGGTATCTGTGGCACTGGGAAGGAAGCTGTATGAAGAAAATGGGCAAATACCTACTGAATGGTTCAGTAACTGGCAGAAAACCCCCATGAACAATGGGCTGTGGCTGAGAAGTTGCCTTGCTCTGAACTGAGTCAGAAAGAAAAGTCATGCAGAATATTAATACCAGGAGGCTAATTCTCCTGTGTGGAACAGTGGTCTAGATTTGAATGGATCATGTGGTTGGAAAGTAGAAACCATTTCATCTGAAATAAATTCCAGTGTGTACTTCAGAATGCCTGACTTCAGTTACAGAAATGCTGGCCATAACTCCAAAATGCTTCAGAAGCACCTAAGTTTAATGAGGAAAGCATTCAAATGTGTTGATTCAATGCAAAATTAGAATACTGGGTTTATTTTGTTTCAGAATGAAGAACTTTAGACTTGATGTATATTAATAATTGGTCAAAATAAAACTCTTAAAAATTGGAGAAACTTATATTGCCATGTATTTTTTTTTATAAATCCAGTTCTTTCAGAAAGCCATTGAAAATGTGCAACAAGAACCATAAAAAAATTCATGCATTTTGACTCAATTTCATTTCTGAGAATTTGTTTAAGTCAAATAATTTTTTTTTTTTTGTCTTTTGACAAAGACTCCCTCCTTGACCAAACCTTAGTCAAGCTTTTCTGAGTCTTCCACTGGGCTTCAACCTTGGCCTTCTTTGTCTGTCCTGCCCTTTCATAGCCCAGTTTAGCAAGAACCCCACTCCCCATTGGGGTCACCCTTGATGTCTGATCAAGTTCCTCATCCCCTCATTGATGCATAGGCCCTTGGCTCATTTTTAGTAAGGATCTTCTTAGGTCAGTTTAGCAAGAATCCCCCCAGCCTTGAGGTCTCCTCTTAGTAATTTTCCATCCACTGACCCCTCACCCTGTTCCTTGGTGATAAATCCTTACCTGTACTTGCTGTATTAAGAGGTAAGCCTGATTTCCTTCCCCTATAGCATATCTGTTTGCAATAATATTGAATAAATATTTTAAAAATAAGTAACAGAATATTTTTTCATATATATATATATGAAAGAGAGAGAGAGAGAGAGGAGAAAAAGAAAAAAGAACTGGAAGCATTCTGAATATTTAGTACTGAGGGATTGACTAAATGAATTTAAAAACATAAACTTTCCAATAGCATGTTGGCACTCATAGACAAATAGAGGTCAATGCTAATATAGTACCATGTTCACACTGCTCTAAGTGCCTCACAAGCCAGTCATCAGAAAGGAGCTAAAAGCTGCCATATTCCAAGGCAGCAGCATCCTACCTCACATCATCCCTGGCTTTCTTCTCAGCAGCAGAGGCTGCCTGTGCTCCTCAGGCCTCGTGCCAGGTAACATGGCTTCTGTATAGCTGCTTGAGTTTCTGTTGAGCTGTGACCTCTGTTACAGTAATGCTGTCCACAGCTCCAAAATGCTTCAGAAGCACCTTCTCCATTTCTCTCCACAAAGGGGCAATATGGAGGAAATGATTCTTTCTTTCTAGCCCTCATAGGCAGGAGACTCGTTCATCTTTCAGGTGGCATGGAGCAATGAGCGGCACATGCTGAGCTTCGTCACTCTTGTCTCCTGGTAACTTGTGGACCTGTGTTGCCGTCGGTCCTTTGTCTCCTGACAGTAACTAGACTAGATCCAGGATAGCCTTTGGCAGGCCTAGTTTAATTTCTAAGCCTGATAATGGGTTAGTAAATCAAATGGTGCCTGCTCTGTGGCCCAGGGGACTTCATTTCAGAAGAGGTTTGCATTCCAGGTGAGGTGTCAGTTCACAGTTGTGCTGCCTACCACAAGTTACTAAGGCCATTTGTTCTGAAATGATTTGGTTTTGCCTGACCTGTAATGCTTGTTTCCCACTTTGCTTTGTAACTGGATTATTATGAATATTTGTCGGGTTTTAGAATACAGAGGAAAGGAAGTGGTGGTGTGTTAATAAACTGTTCCTCTGGGGGGGGGGGGGACAGGGCTGGATTTGTAACAGTTGCTGATTTTTGTAAATACTCTCACTGTGGTTTGTTTCCAGCTCCCAGTGGTTTAACAACAGCTTGTTGACAAAATTCCTGAGTGCTTAACCACTAGCTCCAGTACACCATGGAAAGGAGGGCGCCATTAAGCTTCACCAGATATGAGCCACCACAGTGAAGGAATGGCTTTCTCTGGATCAATTTCCAACATCCTGGGGAAAATCCTGGGTTGCCCAGCTTGTCTGTCAGGTTTCTGTTCCCCGAATTGTTGTCGACTATGACCAGGGGACCAGGACTGCATGGTAGAAGTTGTTGGAAGTGTGTTTTAATAAACCACAGGAGGCGAATTTGGGGAATTATAATACCCCAGTCTTGGTCTCTTCAAAGCAGAGCTTGGTGTAAAGACTTATGTATAACAAATTTCTCAGAAATAAAATCCTTGGAAAGCAGAAGTACAGAACCACTGGGAAAGGAGGGAAAGGCAAAAGGATGCTTTCTGAAGTTCTACAAATCAGTTACTCTTCTGTCACTATTGGATAATAAAAGGGTAACCTCAAATAATACCTGGTAAGGAATGAGCTGCGTGCTGCCAGGGGACTTTACTGGAGCCTGAGAACAAATCCAAATGCTGATGGAGGTGGAGGGAAGAGAGGAGCACACCCTTCTTCAGGACCCCTCTGGAATTCCTGGATTGAGATGTACTATCTGCACCATTTCCCCTGCTCTGAAGGCATTTTGGTTGTGAGAACCAAATTTCCTTTATCATTTAAGTTAGTTTGAATCATGACACTTGCAACCAAAATCTTCTAAGTGCTACACGACCTCAATCACAAGGATTACACCGTATTCTGGTTGTTGGAGTGTTTTCTAGAAGGATGCTACCTCTTAGGGTAAGGGCTCACACATCTGATTTAACTTGTATCCACAATCCCTAACAGAGCTCATGGCATATAATAGAAGCTTAATACATAATGGATTGAAGGAATGCAACTATAATATTTATTTTGTCCCAGTAATATTGATCTTTTCTGGTATCATGAATGCTTTTTTAAAGAATATAAGTGGGGTGGGGGGGCTTGGGATTTAGGTCAGTAGAGGACTTTCCTAGTGTGTGTGAAGCCCTGGATTTGATCCCCAGCACAACGACTAACTAAATAACTAAATTTTTAAAGTGGGTTAAGAATTTTTTTTTCATGCAGAGAAAAAAACAGATCAAAAATTTCAAAAAAAATTAATTAAATATATTTTCTCAGGAATCAATAAAAAGGGGTGGTTACCTAAGAAAGCTATGTTATTTAAAGCTGTCCTGTTAAAAGTATATCTTAGCAGTGCACAGAGGTGCACATCTGTAATCCCAGCTGCTGTGGAGGCTGAGGCAGGAGGATTGCAAGTTGGAGGACAGCAATTTAGAATTTATTTCAAAATAAAATAAAAAGGACTGGGGATATAGCTCACGGGTAGAGGCTTGGGCTTTGATACCTGATCCCTGGGGCCACACACACACACAAAAGTAACATATCTCCTTAGACACTAACAAAGCTGAAAGTTTAATAAAAGTATAGTTACATTATAGAAACCTAAACTCTACCATATTATAATATAGTGGGAAATTTTTTTACTTCTAAAAATAGAATCTCTATAAAATGAAAACATGGCAAAGAGAAAATGTGATTGTGTTGATAATATTTTATCTTGATTAAACTTAAATGAATCACCATGAATAATTTTGATCCTATTGATTAAAAACTAGCAAAAGAAATGTTTATTCAATGGTCTACTTCATCCTCCAATATTAACACTGTGCTACTTCTTCCACATTAAACTTTCTGAAGGAGAATCTACAGTGTGGGAGAGTCAGCAAGTCCACAATTTAATCCAACTCTTCACCAAATTCACTGTATTTCCTGAGCACAGCTTGTTGAATGAGCATTTAAGGAAAACTTCATGAGAAATCTTAAAACTATATATATTCTTCCAGATTATCTGGGACCACTTTACTATTGACAGTAAACTCAGGGGAGTTGTAAGTTCTACTTAAATATATCTCTCTAGAACCCAGCATTTAGAAAAACAGGATGCAGACGAACAAAAGGACGAGTCTTCAAAAATATTTATCCTTAAGTTTTAGGTGACACAATATCTTTATTTTACATTTATGTGATGCTGAGAATCAAACCCAGTGCCTTGTGCATGCTAGGCAAGCACTCTACTACTGAGCCATGACCCCAGCCCCCAAAGGACAATTTTAATAATAATAAAAAACTTTAAAATCTTAATAATATTTTGGGGGCCACGGTAAATTTGAGGCAAAGTACAAACTCTTATTTCTTCTTCAGAACTCAAAAATCTCATTCTTACAATCATTTATGTTAGTTAATAAAATCATTAAAATCAAAATGAAACAAAACCTAATGCTTCCACTTTTCAATGTGAATTTGAGGTTAGAATTTTTTAAGTTCATGAATTTCTGGTAAAAATATTTTGCCTTCTCTGTAATTATCAAAATTTTATTACAGGATGATGCAGGTATCTGGTCAGAATGAGAAAAGGCAACTTTAAAATCTTCTTTTGATTTATTAAGAATCCTCCTTTCTTCTCTTCTCTCTTTTCTTCCTGCCCTGCTTCTTGTCTCCCTCTCTGTCCTCATCTCCTCTGTTATTCTTTCTTTCTTTTCCTTTCTTGTCTTTTTAAAAAGATGATCTCAGTCTGGAATAAACATTCTTGCGAAATTGGCCAGGAATTTTGCCAAGTGTAGTGTCTACACGTCAGCTGTTTTCTGGAAAATAATTACACCATGTGACAATGTCTATTATTTTAATTAGTACTGAGGCGTGCCTCAAAGATGTTTCATCAGGTCAGGATTTCTTATACTGGCAATGGCTTGTTATTTCCCGATGTGCTGATTAAGCAGATAGGTGACACTTGGCATTTTATATAGGTGAGTAAAATAATTGTCATAATTATTAAGCCAGAACTCACGGAAGTAATAAACATTCCCCATGTTACAAAAGGCTTTAGGATCTGCAGCCCAGGGGTCTTGAGATGTTCAAATTACCCAAAGGAAACATTAACCTAATTCTAAGTGTGGAAAGGCCACTCTGTGAAGGCCTGGCACATCTGTGGATCTCAAAATGCTTTGTCATAAAGTTTCTAAAATTTAGTCTGTCATCTGAGGCCTGTTGCATTTCCATGATACTTGGACACACCTGTGTGTTGAATTCAAGTACTACTTCCAGGGACTGCAAAAAAAAAAAAAAAAAAAAAGGCACTTTGTGTATTGAGAACACATGTCAGAAATTCTCCAACCTGAAAACAAAATGTTTTTAATAGTAGTACAGTGGAAAACAGAAGCTTTATTTCCTCTTTCCACAAATGTTTCCCAATATCAATGTAGGGTGAACTAAAGATTGAAACAAGAAGTGTTTCTCTGAAATAAGACTATTTTATAATCATTACATGGGATTTGGAACTACAACAGAACACATATTAGCACAGAGGTTTTTTTTTTTTTTTTGCATGTCTTCTGTGTGAATAAATGTGGTTAGTTTTATTGCAAGGCTTTGTGGAGGCTGGAAGGTCACAGATTCTGTGTGTGGATCTTCTCTCAAGGAATTGGTACCCCTGAGACCAGTCATTCTGGGAAGAGGAGTTTCACAGCCCTGAACTGGAATGACACTGGTTGGAGGAATGGAGTTCCTTCCTCTTTTGGATCTTAATTTCTTAGTCTAAGTCAATTTGTAGACTCTGGCCATTGCTGTTTGAGGTGGGTTCCAAGATAGTGTCTGTCACTTGAATGTGAGAACCTCAATTCAGTTGGAATTCAAGGAGTGCATACCATCATTTGTAATCTCTATTGTCTATATAAAAAAGCATCACTCTTGCTGGGTGTGGTGGCGCATGCCTGTAATACCAGAGACTTGGGAGGCTGAAGCAGGAGGATCACAAGTTCAAAGCCAGTCTCAGCAACTCAGTGAGACCCTGTCTCTAAATAAAATACAAAAAGGGCCACAGATGTGGCTCAGTGGTTAGGTGCCCCTGAGTTCAATCCCTGGTACAAAAAGTGTGAACAACAATTTTAGTGTTCATACCTGGAAAGGATACCTTCTCTGCTTTGCATTGCATGAGGAACCTGTCCTTACTCATCTGGGAAGATAAGGTAAGCTTTCAGTTTTCAGTCTGTATTGTTATTGCTGTCACTTTCCTTTGGATGACACTGTAGTCAACTCAAGGTCAAGGCTTGGTCTGTGATTTCTTCTTTTGTGCTATACTCAGCAATAGGAACTTCTGCTCAGTCTCCCAGACCTGACACAGGGTCTCAGGCTCCCATAGTGTATTCTGTATATGATGCTTTGCCACATCTGGGAGGCTGCATTTGGGCAAGTTTTATTGTGGTACAATTGACAAATAAAAATTGTACAGATTTAGGGCATACAATGTGTGGTATTCTTATACATTGTGTAAAGGTTACCACAATCAAGCTAATTAACATGTTCATCAACTCACATAGTTATTTTGTATGTGTGTGCTGAGAACACTTAAGATCTATTCTCCTAGATGATTCAAGTATATAATACATTTCCATTAAGTACAGTTCCCATATTATACATTAAATATCCAGAACTTATTCCTCCTGCATAGCTGAAACTTTGTATCCTCTGGCCAATATCTTCCTACCCACTCCCATTTCCCCTGTTGATCACTATTCTACTCTCTGCTTCTATGATTTCAATATTTTTTAGATTACATAGAGTGAAATCATGCAGTATTTGTCTTTCTGTATCTGTTATTTCACTTAATATAGTGATCTCCAGGCTCATCCATGTTTTCACAGTGGTGGGATTTCTTTCAATTTCAAAGCTGAAGGGCCACACCTGTAATCCCAGTGACAACAGAGGCTGAGGCAGGAGGACTGCAAGTTTGAGACCAGTCTCAGGAACTTAGCAAGGCCCTGAGCAACTTAGTGAGACTCTGTATCTAAATAAATAAATAAACAAACAAACAAATAAATAAATAAATAAAATGGCTGGGTATGTGGCTCAGTGGTTAAGCACCCCTGGGTTTGATCACTGGTACCAAAACAAACTACAAAAAAAGGTCCAAGGCTATTTGATTGGGTCCACATTTTCTTTATCCATTCATCTGGTTAGCATACACTTAGGCTGCTCACATATCTTGGCTATTGTGAATATGTTATGCTCGAATTCGGGACCCCCAAAAGACCACCGGAGACCAAGATCGATGTAAACAGCAAAGAGGTGTTTATTGCGAGCTAGCTCGGTCCTCCGCGCGCACACACAGCAACTGGTGATGCTGAGAGGCCCCGAGCCCAGGGTTTGCAGCAGTTTTATACATTCTTTGGAGAAGGCGGGGACCCCCATATACATCATAGCATCTCTTAGCAAATCATCACACACCGAAGGAAAAATCAAATAACAACTCTAAAACATGATTAGCACATTCACTGGCGGGAACAAGTTGGGTAGGGGTGATTGGTCAGTACAAAAGGGGTATTCATTTGAACTGATTGGTTTAGGCCACAAGGGGTGTACATGCTAAACTACATGGTTTCCCAACATGTTATCAACCACCATAAACTACTGGGAGGGTCATCTGGCATCCCAGGTATTTCCCTGTCTCATGCTGATTGGTGGCTGCTAGGGGGTTGCTATGGATCCCCACCTAGCCTGACTGAGTCAGGGACACCTGGCGCAGCAGATCTCTCCTGTTATTTGTAGATAAACAACTTAGCAGGGTGGGAATGTGCCTAGGAGTGCTCTGTGGGTCTTTCCAAGGACAAAGGTCATGTCCTTCCCTTGGACAGGCTTTGCTCTGAGGTAGAGGCTGGTTTTTCAAATAGTGCTGCAATGAACACACAGGTAGACATATCTATGAGATACTGATTTCATTTTCTTTGGATGTACACCCAGCAGTGGGATTGCTGAATCTTATAGTAGTTCTACTTCAATGTTTTTTGAGGAACTTCAATACTGTTTTTC